CATGTTTGGAGAGCATAGACAATGTGGAGGAGGAGAAAAAGGAGGACGGGTGACTTCGAGGGACTCCAAGGATCGAGGGTCGAAGGGTTGACTACAGGGATTCCTGGAGAGGGAGGGTGTGGAGGGGCAGGTGGAGGGTGCGAGCATGGGGGCGGCAGCGCCTGGGGGCGTGAACGTTCAGGGTCACGCGCCGAGGCCGCAGGATGGTGGCGTAATAGTTCGAACGAGAAGTGAAAACCACTTCGTCCTTGGAGGTATTGCTGCTACAACTACTCCTTCCTCCCCTTCCTCCTCCTCCATCCCCCTCCTCCTCCTCTCCCTCTTCCTCTCCGTCGCCTTCCTTCCCCTCCTCGTCCTCTTCCTCCTCCGAGATGCGGGGCGTGCGCAAGGCGATTGCGATGGCGGTGTGCCGTCCGAGCTGTGGATGTCAAAGCTCTTCGGAAGAGGTGGTGGCAATGCTTTCTTGGGCGGGAGATCTGGGCGAGGGAATATGGGGCCCCCGCGTTTCTGGCAACTCCCCCGCGGTGGGGTGTGGTATCCAGGAGGATGCACGTGACGCGTGGAAGCATGGCGCATGATGGTTAAATGGTTGTTGTCGTTGCTGTTGCTGTTGTTGTTGTGGTTGTTTTTGTATTATAGCTGTTGTTATTGAACTTTCATTTCTGAAGAAGGATTATCGTTTACCCCCCTGCTCGGTGCAAATTGTTTTTTTCCGATTGAAGCGCTTCTCCTGGGGCTCGCACATGTTTTTTCTCAGCAGGGGGCGTCTTGCAGGTCAAACAGCGTCGTTGGCCACCAATTTACAACAACAGCGTCTTCCGTCTGATAGTCCTGCACTAATTATTGAAGAATTGCGCTGTCGCCTGGGACATCCTGTCAATTTTCCGCCGGTTCGCGGCTCCCGCTTGATATTTCCTGATGTTTTTTTGCAGAATCGCGTTCTCGCGTGGGAGTTCCTTGCAACTTACCACCGGACCGCTTCGCTTGACATTTCTTCGCGATGTGTTCCGATGCCGGTCCTCGACATTCAGGAATCGCGCTCCCGCTGCCTATTGCCTGGCGGTTCAAGCAGGACTCACGTTTCAACGGCCCGCCCGCTCGGCCCGCCCGTCGGGGCCTGCCCGCCCGACCAGCCCGTTCATGACTGCAGTCGCCGCTCGCTGCCTTTCGCCCGCCTTCGATGCCCTTCGCTGCCCGTGGTGGTTCCGCGGTCGCCTTCGCTCGGTGTCCTTCGTGGCGTCGTTGCTGCCCTCAGTGGCCTCGTCGCTACCCTTTGTGGCCCCGCATTATATGCCCTTCGTGGCCCCCGCTTGCACGCGCCCGTCGTGGCCCCATACGCATGCCCTTCGTAGCCCCGCTGTCGCCCTTCGTTGGCCCGCTCGCTGCCCTTCGTGGCCTTTTTGCTGCCCTCCGTGGCCCCGCTGTCTCGCACTGTGGCCCCGTATACGAATGCCCTTCGTGGCCCCCGCTCGCTCGCGCCCGTCGTGGCCCCATATTCATGCCCTTCGTGGCCCCGCTGTCGCCCTTTGTGGCGCCTTCGCTGCCCTTCGTGGCCCTGGTGCTGCCCTCAGCGGCCCCGTCGCTGCTCTCTGTGGCCTTGGATTTTATGCTCTTCGTGGCCCACGTTGGCTGTTCTCACGATTTACTTGGAAATCGCGCTGTCGCTCGGGACTTCCTCGCGATCCATGCAGGACCCACGCTTTAGCAACTCGCCTGCAATTCGTCGCCTGGGCCCGCCTTCCCGACCTGCCCGCTATGGGTCTGCCCACCCGATTTGCCCATTTGGTTATACCACTTGTTTTCTGCCCTTGCCTCCCTCCTGCTAATGTCTCTCGTGCTCCATTCTTTCCCCTCCCCCTTCCACCCGTCCTCTCTTCCCCTGTTTTTAGGGGTTGCATTAAATACGCGTGGCAGGTAAGGCAGGTATACCCCCAAGGGGGTACGATCGAAAACGACGAGGGCGGGTACCGAGGTTGTTTGTAGACGTATTGATTGGCACGCGAGCAGATAGGAGCGAACAGTCTTAAAACTATTGATGTTGTTGATGCTGTTGAATCGTCATTTCCAAATATTAACTGCTGTTGATCTCCAGAAACGGTTCCGCGCGCTCTTGCCTCGACGCCGGCAGCAGTTTCTCTGACAACGAGGCTCCCGCTCGAGCTTTTGTTTGAGTCTAATTGTGGGTCCTTGGAAGACCAGCTTCGGCGAGAACGGCTCCCGCTCGATATTTCTTCACTGTCAATCTGGCCAGAGGGGCCCCCGAACTCATGAACGGCGCTTTCGTTCGAGACATCCTCCCAATTCGTTCAAGTTGGCGGAAGCTCAGCCACGACGACAAGGGCTCCTGTTCGATATTGTAGTGGCCTTCGGCCAGTGCCGCCGATCCGGGTCGCTCGGATACACATATTACGCGGACGCCTCACGCACGCACGCGACCAAATGCACATACGGCTGACACACATACAGAGACACACCAGGCGCACGCCAGACACTAGCACGCACAGACATTCGCAGACACCCACCACACACAGACACTCGCACAGGAGCCTGTCAGGGCGTCGTGGGGGCTTCTTGGGGGCTTTTGGGGGCCCTCTTGGGGGCTCTTGGGGTTTCCTGGGGGCCTTTTGGGCTGGAAGGCTAGATTGTTTCCGCTTTTCGTCCCTCTTTTGGGTCCTCTTGCGGCCGTCTTGGGGGCCTCTTGGGCCGTCTTGGGCGGCTCTTGGGCCGCCTTGGGGCCCTCTTGGGCCGTCTTGGGACTGTCTGGGGGCCTCCTGGGCTGTCTTCGAGCGGTCTTGGGGGCCTCTTGGGCCGTCTTGGAGCGTCGGAAAGCAGAAAAAAGCGACACCCCCAAAAACATTAAGAAAAACCAATGGAAATCAACGATTTTTGCCTCTGGGGGCCCTCGTGGGAGGCCTCTTGGAGGCCTCTTCAGACGTCTTGGAAGGCTCTTGGGCCGTCTTGGGGCCATCTTGGGCGTGCTCGGGCGATCTTTTGGGGTCTCGGGACTTTCTTAGACCGTCCTCAGAGACTTTTGCGGCCGCGGCCACTTTAGCGCATCCTCGAGATTAGAGCCTTCTGTAAAAGCAGCCCCCCGCGACCGCCGGAAAACTCGTCCCACCCCCCACCCCCCCTTCCCCGGCAGAGCCACCCCGGCAACCCCCCCAGAGGCTGAGGCTCAGCCTCGAGGCTGCAGCTGAGACTCCTTGAAACTCACACGCCGGATCGGCGGATTTCCTCACGATTTACTCCGAGAGCCCCTGGCCAAGCAGGCCCCCGAACTCAGGAACGGCGCTCTCGCTCGAGGAACTCCCGTAATTCAGGCAAGTTGGTGGAGGCCCGGACACAGCGACAAGGGGTTCTGTTCGATATTGTTAGGGTCTTTGGCCAATGCCGCCGATCCGCAGGTGGCCGGATGTTTGTGCGGGGGCTTTTTGGAGGCAGTTTTGAAGCCTATTGGGCGCCGTTTTAGGGCCTTTGGGGGCGTCTAAGGGGCTTCATGGGGGTCTCTTAGGAGCTCTGCGGAGCCTCTTGGGACCTTGAGGGGTGTCTTGGGGCGTAAGGCAGGAATTATCGGTTCGGGCTTCCCCTCTGGGGCTTCTGTTGTCGCTGTCTCGGGGCTTTCTTGGGCTGTTTTGGCGCCTATTGGGCCGTTTCGGGAATCTCTTGGGGCGTCATGGGGCGGTTTTTGGGGGTCTCTGGGACCGTCTTGGAAACTTTTTGGTGCGTCTTGGACGTCGTTAAGGCCGAGAAATCGGGCATGCTAAAAATGTATGCTTTCCCACAGGGACTGAATGGTTTTTACCTCATGGCGCCCTCTTGGGGGTGCTCTGGGAGGCCTCTTGGGACGTTTTTGGCGCTTTTGCCGCCGACTGGAGGCTATCTTGGGCGTCTGGGCACGATCGTTCAGCGATGTGTAGTGCCTAAGAGGTCCTGAAGTTGTATATGTTGACGTGTCCGAGGTCCCCCAAGAAAGCGGAGCAAATCGAAGCAAAGCGGAGCATATGCGCAGCAGAGGGGGGTCGCCCTTTTTCCGTGGCAGAGCCACCCTGGCAACCGCTCCCAGCAGAGCTGAAGCTCAGGCTTTCGGCTGTGGCTTAGGCTTTTGGAAGCTCACACGCCGGATCGGCGGATGTCCATGGATTTATCTTTAAGTGGAGGCGCGGGGCTGATTTCATTCTCCGCGTCGGAGTCAGACAAATCCCTCCTGGCGGCCCTCTTGGAGCGCTCTTTGGCTGCTCTTGGGCGCCCCTGGTGCCGCCCTGGGCCTCTTCCTGACCTCTCTTGGGGCTCTTTTGGCCGATTTTGGAGCCATTTTGAGGCTTCTGGTGGGGCCTTCTCGGGTGATCTCGAGCAATCTTTGTAGTCCATCGGGCTCTCTTGGACAGTGTCCGGCCGTATTGTAGCCATCTTGGGGCACATCTTGGGACCTGTCATTGATTGACCCGCGCTCTTGGCGGGGACATGGCCGGGATCCGGCAGGACCGTCTTCGGCCAATTCGCTTTTGTTGCCCGAGATTGGTTCCCGTTTTCCCACGGCGGTGTAAACAGGAGTTCGTCTGCAACCAATTCTGCTCGCATCCGGCAGCTGCGCTCCTGGGGGTCAGCGGGGCGTAGTCGCACCCAGGCCCAGGCTAGCACCCTCGGCCACTCGTGCTGTTGCCGAGGAACGTGTGCCCCCGCCTTCCTGCGCCCGCTGAGGGGTCCATCGGAACGCCTCCCTCTGAGCAGACCCGAACTATTGCCTGCGCCCTGCTGGTCGCTGCCAGACGTAGCCAGCTACCTGCTGCCCTGGGGGTCCATCAGAGTCTGGCTCTTTGCATGCAGTCACACACCAGGTGAAGGGCATTCCGCAGGGGCGCCGCGAATGCCATATGTTGAGGACAACGTGCTTCCCACCGATTCAGGCTCAAGCGGCATTCTGATCCTGTTTTTACACAGCGTGATACTTTCTTGGCTAACTCTTCTCTTGTTCGCGGAAGCAACCAACTTCGGTGTGTAGGATGGCGGCCCAGAAGGCATCCTGCATTGTGTGGTTGGTGGCACTGCTGGTCCACAGTGTGCCGACTGCAGTTTCTCTCCAGGTGGGGACCAGTGTTAACGCGACGGAAGATTTGATGATGTCACCCTCAGATCAGACCTCTTCGTGGTCCTGCACTTCGATCGGTGCGAGCAGCTTCTCCGCCCAGTACAACTCCTACATCTCCGGCAGCACCATCGTGGTTACAAATAATGCGATGAGCCAGCTCGGACGAGCATACTACACGTGGGCAAACACGGGAGGATTCAAGATCAGTTTCGATATGTACCAGGGCGGCGGGTCAGGCGCAGACGGCATGGCATCGAAGGGAGGGGTCATTGTATCGTCCCCCGCCAGGGGTATTGTGCTGCCGAGAGGAGGGGGTATTGTGCTGTCCCTCGGTACCGTATTGTTCTCCGCGGGGGGTATTGTGCTGTCGCGGGGCGGGGATTGTGCCTGCGGCGCTGAACCTGGTCCACGTGGGCGTCTGCGGCCGGAGAGCCAGGTCCTGGGACCGTCCACTCGCGTGGATCCCAGTAAATATCTTGAGGTGCCAGGGCCTTTGCCGAGAACGCCCGCGCGGATCAGGGTCCTGCGCCTGCCTAGGGCCCTGCAGGACGTGGTTCTCCCTGCCACACGGGCCTCTCCCGATGCTCCGATATGCGCGCAGCGACGCCACCAGGTACTCGGTTCTCCGCCGGCAGACGCCCGCAGGGTCCCGGTTCGGCGCCTGCCCAGGGCCGTTCAGCGTTTGGTTCTCCGCCCATGCGCCCCCCCGCGACAATGCAATGTTCTTTTCGGGGGACAGCGCAACACCCCCGTGTCCCCGCGACAATGCAGTGCCCCCTTGCGGGGACAACTGCGATGCCATGCCGTGCAGGCGCTGACGGTATGTGCATGAAGTACGGCGGTTATGATTACGGCGAACAAGGCGAAAATATTGCTGCGAACGGCTTCTCTGTATGCTTTGACTCCTACCCAAACGACAACGATCACGGAGTGGAGATGGGATGGAATGGCGGTATCATATTTTCAGAGATAGGTACGGGATACTGGAGTCATAACGTTCCCCTCTTCGAGGATTCCACTTGGCACAATGTAGTTGTGGAGGTCACGCCCAGCGGCAGCGGTGCTAATGTGATATTGAACTATGACAAGGGCTCCTATTACAAGACTGCGTGGATAAGTAGCTTCTCATCGCCAGTTGGCAGCCAACAGGTGGCCTTCACTGCAAGAACTGGTGGTTCTACCAACTGGCACTATGCCAGGAACGTCCAGGTGTGCAGCGTTGCGACTCCGAGCCCAACGCCGTACCCGACGCCATACCCGACGCCGTACCCGACCCCGTACCCGACGCCGTACCCGACGCCGTACCCGACGCCCAGTCCGACGCCCAACCCGACGCCCAACCCGACGCCCAACCCGACGCCGTACCCGACGCCCAGTCCGACGCCCAACCCGACGCCCAACCCAACGCCGTACCCGACGCCGTACCCGACGCCGTACCCGACTGCCTTCCCGACGCCGTACCCGACGGCCTTCCCGACGCCGTACCCGACGGCCTTCCCGACGCCGTACCCGACGGCCTTCCCGACGCCGTACCCGACGGCCTTCCCGACGCCGTACCCGACGGCCTTCCCGACGCCGTTCCCGACAGCCTTCCCGACGCCCTTCCCGACGGCCTTTCCGACGCCCTTCCCGACGCCCAGCCCGACGCCCAGCCCGACGTTTCCTCCAGGTTGGCCGACGCCGCATCCGACTTTTCCTCCTGGAGCTCCCATGGCAGGTGGAGCGGGAGGCGTCGCTGCCACTGGCGACCCCCACCTTCAAAACATTCATGGCGAGCGGTTCGATTTGATGCGGCCGGGCACACATGTTCTTATACATATTCCCCGTGGAACGAGCGCTGACAATGCAATGCTTCGTGTGCTGGCCGATGCACGCCGACTGGGCGAAGGTTGTGCGGATATGTATCGAAGACGCCTACGGCGAATCACCGGCGCCCCCTGCCTTTTTGGAAGCGCCTATGTGGCCGAACGTTGAGGCCAGCCCTGCCAAGCTACCGGACCATGTGTTCCCCGAATCGGTTTGGAAAGCCTTCGGGGAACACGTGGGCATCTTGAAGGTCATCTTGGCCGCCTGGAGGCCATGTTGACCCTTTCAGGCCTTCTTGGAGGGCGTCTTGGAGGGCTCTTGGGCCGTCTTGGAGGCCATCTTGAGCGTCGTGGATGCCTCTTGGACCGTCTTGGGAGCCTCTTGGGGCCGTCTTGGGCCTCTTGGGCGATCTTTGGGGGCACTCGGGCCGTCGGAAGGCCGAAAACAAGCAAATGCCACGATCCTTCAAAAACTCATGGGAAATCCATGATTTGGGCCTTTTTCGGGCTTTCCTGGAGGCCCTCTTGGAGGCCTCTTGGGCCGTCTTGGGCCATCTTAGGGCCATCTTCGGCCGTCTTGGTGGGCTCCTGGCCCGTCTGACGCCGTCGAAAGCCGTTTGGGGGGCCTCTTTGGGCCGACTTGGGGTCCTCTTGGAATGCTCCAGGGCCGTCTTGGAGGCCTCCTTGGGCGTCTTAAAGGCCTCCTGGGCTGTCTTGGGGGTCTCTTGGGGCCGTCTTAGGAGCCTCTTGGGCCGTTCTGGGGCCATCTTGGAGGCCTCTTGGGCGATCTTTGGGCGATCTTTGGGGGCTCTCGGGCCGTATCGGGCCGTCGGAAGGCCGAAACAAAGCAAATCTCAAAATCTTTGTTTGGCCTTTTCTGGCCTTCCTGGAGGCCCTCTTGGAGGCCTCCTTGGGCCAGCTTCGAGCCAACTTCGGCTATCTTGGTGGGCTCCTGGCCCGTCTGACGCCGTCGGAAGCCGTTGGGGGGGCCTTTCTGGGCCGACTTGGGGCCCTCTTGGGGTGCTCCAGGGCCGTCTTAGAGGCCGTCTTGGGCGTATTGGAGGCCTCTTGGGTCGTCTTTATGCTCTCTTGGGGCCGTCTTGGGGGCCTCTTGGGCGGTCCTGAGGCAATCTTGCAGGCCTCTTGGGCGCTGTGGGGGCGATCTTGGGGGCCTCTTGGGCCGTCTTGGGTCGTCGGCTAGCCGAGAAGAAGCGAATGCCAAAATCCTTCAAGAACCGAAGGACGATCAATGATTTTGGCCTCTTCGGGTCCTCCTGGAGGACCTCTTGGAGGCCTTTGGGGCCGTCTTGGCGGCCTCTGGGGGGCCTCTTGGGCCGTCTTGGGCCGTCTTGGAGGCCGTCTTGGACCATCTTGGGCGAACTTGGAGGCCATCTTGGGCCATCTTTGAGGCCATCTTGGGCCATCGTGGCCATATTGGAGGCCATCTTGAGCCGTCTTCGAGGATTTTTTGTGGACGCTGAGGTGGTTTACGCGGCCTCCCGGGACCCCGGCGGAACGCGCCGAAGCCCCAGGGGGAGTCCTTTTGGAAAAAGAACCAGAACCAAAACCGAGAGGGTTCAGCACGCCAGGCACCCCTGCGATGAATCGACGGGGGGCGGCGGATCTTATGGCCTTCGGCCCATCCCGCCGCCGTGCCTGGGTTGTGGATCATGGGCCTCTGGGATGTTCGTTGGGGTGTCGCGGGGGGCGGGGGGCCTCTCGGTGGCTGCTTGGGAACCGTTTTGAGGGTCTCTTGGAGCCGTCTGTGGGCTTTTTTCGGGTCGTCTTCGGGGCCTCGTGGGTGTCTCTTGGAGCCACTCGGGGGCCTCTTGGGTTCTCCTTGGAGCTTCCTGTCTCCTTGGGGCCCTTCTTGGGGATGTTTTCGGGCCCTCCGGGGCCGTCTCGGGCGCCTCTGGGGCTGTCTTGAAGCCCTCTTGGGCCGTGTTGGGCCGTCTGAGGGCGGTCCTGGGGGCCTCTTGGGCCGTTTTGGAGTGCTGGGATCTCGAGAAGTAGAGGATCCCCAATTCATTGGAAACCATTTCAGAAGTACATCATTTTGACTTCTCGGGGCCCTCTTGGGAAGGCTCTTGAGGCTCTCTTGGGGCGTCTTGGCAACCTCTTGTGCCGTCTTGGGACCGTCTTGGGTGTCTTGGGGCGATCGTTCGGCGACTCGGGTCCCTCTTGGACCGTCTTTGGGGCCTCTTGTGGCCCTCTTGGCCCGTCTTGGGCCCCCCTTGGGCCCAGAGCAATCATGCGACGAGACGCGCTGGATCCCCGACAAGCCGCGCCAAGGCCCGGAAGATTAGGCAATTTGGGCTTCGGGTCCCTTGAAGACTCCTGATGAGTGAGGCTTAGGGGATTAGGCCAAGGACCTGAGGACACGCCCAGCTTCGTGCCCAGCGGCACGCTGGCGGATTTCCAACAAGTGAACGTCACAGGGTCGTGGGCAGAGGCCAAGCGATCTGGGGGATATCATTACAGCGTATCGCAAAGCGCACCCGATACTCCCGAGTGGGCCGCGTTTGGTACGGTTCAGCTGAAAGTCGTTCACGGACGCACTGGCGCTGGCAGCCAGTATCTGAATGTTTACGTCAAGCATTTAGGGCGAGCAGGGCTTGCCGTAGGAGGCCTGCTTGGCGAGGACGACCACAGGGACGCGATGACTCCACCAGCGTCTTGTGTCAAGCGTACGTTCCTGTCAGAGGTGCGATCGAGCGGCCAAGCTTTTCCTTCTGTGTCGTCGGTTGCAATGGCAACCTTCGCGTGACCATAGGGGGCACGTTGGCACATTATAATCCGTAAGGGCTTCGCTCCATGCCGCTGGCCCCCTTGTCTCGGATGATGGGAGATGGAAATGCTAAATCATGAGGTCTAGGCGCCGCCGTGAAGCAGTGTCGGGACATGTTTCTTGTTCTACCCTGACCCTACGGATCTGCGTGAGGGGTGCCGCCGAATTTCAGAAATGTAGCAAATCCCTTAGGTTTTTGGACCCTGACCCTACGGATCTGCGTGAGGGGTGCCGCCGAATTTTAGAAATGTGGCAAGTCCCTTAGGTTTTTGGACCCTGACCCTGCCGATCTGCGTGAGGGGTGCCGCCGCATTTCAGAAATGTGGCAAACCCCTCATGTTTTTGGACCCTGACCCTGCCGATCTGCGTGAGGGGTGCTGCCGGATTTCAGAGATTTGGCACATCCTTTGTGTTTTTGGACCCTGACCACGCCGATCTGCGTGAGGGGTGCCACCGAATTTCAGAAATGTGGCAAATCCGCTGTGTTTTTGACCCTGACCCCAGATCTTCGTGAGGGGTGCCGACGAATTTTAGAAATGTGGCAAGTCCCCTGTGTTTTTGCACCCTGACCCCGCCGATCTGCGTGAGGGGTGCCGCCGAATTTCAGAAAGGCAGTAAATCCAATCTGTTTTTGCACCCTGACCCTGCCGATCTGCATGAGGTGTGCCAGCAAATTTCAAACATGTGGCAAATCCGTTGTGTTTTTTGGCCCTGACCTCGCCGATCTGCGTGAGGGGTGCCACCGAATTTGAGAAGTGTGGCAAATCCTTTACGTTTTTGGACCCTGACCCCGCCGATTTGCGTGAGGGGTGTCAATTTTTACCCACCCCAGCAATTCAGACCACGCGTTCGCGCTCGTTTTGGGCCTCCCCCCCTCGCGCTGTTCATCAACAAGGAACAGCAAGCAGGAAGAAGTCAACAAGGAACAGTAAGCAGCAAGAAGCAGAACTGTAATAACAGTGGAAACTGGAAGCTGCAACTGGTACAGGAAACTGCGAACCTTCGTCCTACAGCCTGGTGGCCCCACAAGAGGGCCGGCGGATTTCATAATCAGGCCCTGGAGCCACTTGCTTCTGTTTACTTGCCTTCGCACTGGATCTCGCAGAAATCGTCATGCGGATCACTTGTCGATCGTCACGTTTCGCCACTGCGCGTCGAGACTCATCTGAAGACAGAGCAACCGTGTCTGACCAGTGGGCAGGATTATCGGACCAAGGGCCGCCCATGATCTTCACGCACAGCGTGTGAGGAAGATCGTAGGCGGTAAGGCCAGGGGCGATATCCTGAACCCCGGCCTAGATTCCTCCGACCCTTTTCCAGTGTCCATCCCTCTTTTGCTTTGTCAAGTTCATCAGCGATTCGGCCATTAGAAAATCTCAGTTCTTGATGATTCGCGTATCCCCACAAGCTTGGTGGTGCAGGCCTCCACGGTTCAGGCCACCCTGGCAGCCTCTCAGTTTGCATCGGTTGCCAAATTTTCTGCAGTTCAATTCACATCCGGCAGCCCGCAGCCCCTGGC